AGCAGCTACCAGGAAAAGTCACTGATGGCTATCTTCATCTTCCTCCTGCACTAAAACCACTAAAGTCGTCTTCTTCAGTGTCTTCAGGAGCTGAACAGCCTCAGAATCACTTCATCACTTCCTCAGTCTCTCTGTCGTCGTCGCTCTCAGCCTCACTTTGGTCTCCAGGTGAATTCATAAAAATCCATAAATTAGTCTCATCGTTGTTTAAGCCGCAGCGTTCAGAGCGTGTGAATAAAGTAGCAGCTTATAGTCCAGACATTACGGTAACTGTTTGGGCGTCTTAGGAGGAAGATGATGGAGTTTACAGGAAGCTACAGTTAATACAGCGACGACTGTGTAAATCCAGCGTGTGATTGGAAAGTCGAGTTCGTGTTAAACAGTGAACCTCATCATCTGCTGCAGGTTTCTTTAATCAGCTGTAACTCTGTGAAACGCTGCCGACAGCCGACCTGCAGGTGTAGAGATGCCTCCACCTGTCTGACAGCTGTAGTGATGAACAGCAGCAGCTCCACCAGCCTCCCAGAGCGTTCCTCACAGATCCTCCATTCATGCCTGTCTGGAGGTTCGTCTTTCAAAGCTGTAGAGACGCTGAACACTTCATCTGTTCTCCAGTTTCATTCATTTCTTCATCAGAATTTTCTCCTCCAGTTTAATTCTTTGACAGACGAGTCGTTAGATTCCAGTTTATTCTTCTCATCCGATGACTTTATGGTCTGACAGAAATGCTGAGCTCTGTCAGACTGAACCAACCTGCAGCAGCTCAGTACGACGTGGACGCCGTCGGACCGCTCGCTGGGTTTTTGTTCAGTTTCCTTTGTGGGACCCGGCACTGCCGGAATGAGCCAGACTGACCCAATAGGCTCAGCAGGCCGGTACCACCCGACTGAACGGTGGCAGAGCGAGAGAGGAACACAAGTCTGATTTTGGCTTTTTGTTTTTTAATGAATCTGCATGTATGTGTGTGACTGATGACATCCAGACTGCAGAGCAGATGAAAGTTTATTTTTCATAGTTTGTGCTTTAAATCAGGTTCATCTGATCTAGTTTTAACTAATTCAGCCTTTGTTTGTTTGTGTTTGTTCAACAAAAAGGCTCAGAC